CTTACTGGACATCTCAGTGGTACCATCCTTCAGTAGTGGTTCAGATCACCGCCTCCTTCGAGCAGAAGTGTGATTCAGCCGAAAGCTGGCAAAGAAGATCTGCCACCATGTTGGAGGAAGGAGAGAAGTCATACGACGGCGTCAGATTGGAGGAGCTCCTGACCACTTGTGACTGGTCCATCGAGGAAGACCCAACGATGGACTACTCTGCTTATCAAAGGACTGAAAGTCTGTGGTGAAAGCCCCTCAATGCCTTGAAAAATGAATTTGGAACGAAGCCACCAAGGATCTGCTAGAGAGGAGGAGAGCATTGAGGCTGGCTCCGACTGCATCACATCTCGAGCGAGTGGTAGCCAATACCAGTTGCAGAACAACTTTGCAAGAAGATCTCCGAAAGTACAGGCAGTTCAAACTTTTGCAAGCAGCGCAAGGAAGGAGAAGTCTAAAGAAGTACCGAAGGGACCTTCTCGACTATCGTGTTCCGCTGACAACATCACTGAACGAAGACGGGACTCGCACATCTTCTCGAAAGGAGATGGAATCGATCACGATGAGATTTTACGCCAATCTCTTCCGCTCATCAACACCCGTGTCATACCCCATTATTCCCATTGGAGAAATAACACCACGATTTCTACCTGCTGAACGCGCCGCAATAAAGACCATGAAGGTAGCCACGGCACCGAAACCGGACCACGTTTCGGCCGACCTCTTACGAGCTGGAGGACAGTGCCTATGAGATACATCTAATATCCTACCTTCAAAGGGAAAGGATCCCGACCAGTGGAGAACCTCCCGAACAATCTTCCTTCACAAGAAGGGCGATAGGGAGGATCTTCGCAACTACCGTCCAATATGCCTGTTGAGCGTGCTTTACAAGCTTTTTACGAAGATTATTCTCTCTCGTATATCAAGGACACTGGGTGAAGCCCAATCTGTAGAACAAGCTGGATTTCGCAATTCAGCAGCGTGGATCACATCCAGACAGTTTCGAGAATCATCGAGGTTTGCCGAGCATACCGCCTACCTCTCGTCCTACCTTCGTCGGATACGAGAAAGGATTTGACAGCGTCGAGACTAATGCCATACTATCAGCGCTCGTCGACCAAGGGGTGGACCCATTTACATGAGGACATTGACCGACTGCTACAAGAATTGCTCTACAACGGTACAGCTTTTCCAACGAACCCCTTAACATACCAATTTCGAAGGAGGTTCGACAAGGCGACACCGTGTCGCCGAAGCTGTTTACCGCTGCCTTGCAATGAGTGATGAAATAACTGGATTAAAACAAGAGAGGTATACGAGTTGATGGGAGATTTTTCTCGAACCTTCGTTTTGCGAACGTTGTTCTCTTTTTGAGGAATATCACTGAAGCGGAGACGATGTTGAAGGAACTAGACGAAGTAGAGAAGTGGATAGGACTGCGAGTCAATCGGAAGAAGACTTAGTTCATGAAGAACGCTTTTTGCGGGCATCAGGAAATGGAATTAGAGGGCTCTCCAATTGCGGAGACGTCTTCTTACGTGTATTTCGGACGTTTTCTGAACATGGAGAACGATCTGAAGGAAGAACTAAACAGGAGGCGAAGAGCAGCTTGGCAGCTTGGGCCGCCTTCGGGCCCCTAAAGGAAGCCACAGACCAGCTGGCGGACCCAGAGCTCCGAGTCCACCTGTTCGATTCAACCGTTCTCCCTGCGCTCTGTTACGCAGCGGAAACGTGGCCTAACACTGTGGCTACGTCGAAAACACTCCGAACAACCCACAGAGCGCTGGAACGACGTCTTCTGAAGTTCAATCGACGCACCCAACATCTCGTCGACTTCGCAGTTCGCATATGAGATCAATGTCCCATCTTCGCGATCCAGCGAAATACGCCTCCAAGACAAAACATCGAGGCTGGTCATATAAGGAGAAGACACTACATTAAGAGCTCTGGAATGGATCCTCGCGAAGTAAAACGTCCTCGAGCAAGGCCACCGACAAGATGGGCTGACGTGTTCGTGGCACGGATGGACCAGCTGAATTCTCAGCTGGTAACGAGTAATGGATCTG